AATGTAGAGGCAAGGGAGAAGACCACATGATTATGTTGTTAATGGTGCATGGTAACTGATTCGAGAGGATTACAGGAAACCTATTTCCTGAGTGTGGGTCACTATTCACGGGTTCGGCATTCATGGTTTACAGTATTCGCAAATGCTGAACCTGCTTTGTAAATACACATAAAGGAGCTACTCAGGAGCTCTGCGCTTGCCACCACTGGGCTCCTGCTGCCCCCACCACCGAGCTCCCACTACTGCCACCATACTCCCACCGCTGCAGCGACACTCCTACTGTCACCAGAGCAGCCATGCCCCCCACTCCCTCAGCCACCTAGGGACACTGCATTCATGAACGCAGACAGTGTTCATGAATGCAGTGCCTTATTGGCAGTTTTTGCCATTCACGGGGGATACAAGAACGTATCCCCCACGAATGGTCAGAGTCAATTGTACATGCTTTTAAAAAATATAAATACACTATTGATCGTCCACTTACCATACAAGTATCTTTTTTATTTCTTTTATGCTGCCATTTACATAAGGAAGGTTCTTCCTTTATGTTTTCACTTCTCTTTTCAAGACCTACCACAAACTGCCAGTTGAAGATAGCTGCAGGGGTGGATTGGGGGAGACGGGAGGGAAGAAGCAGTTGCAACCCTCCCACCTTTAATTTCTAGTCCACCCAAAGTTTGAAACCAACTGCCTGGTGGCAGCAGCAGCATTTCTATTCAGGCAGCATTGAGGGAGTCAATTGACTTCATGATTCACTATAATCTACCAGACTCCTTCTAAACCCTTCATTCTAGAGGTGTGGTTTTGATATTGCACTAATCAAGCTATCCTTTCTCCTGTAATTCTGCTGTTAGTTGTTTATGGTTAGCTCCTGTTTCACAACCCTGCAGAGCATTTTTCACTGTAGCTAAAAATATTAACTCAGGTGTGGAAATAACTTCCTGTGAACCACTGGATGCATCGTCACTATACTCAGGAAGGCTAGATTGTGCTTTATAAAGCTGAAAAAGAGATGTAGATTTAATTTTAATGACTACAGGATTAAAGAACAACCTCTTTTGATGATTTTTTGTCTAGTTTGTTACGTTTTATATATGATATATGTGATATAACAAATTAATGCACATTCCAATAAAGATATACTTGTTTTTGCTTTAATCTTAAATGGAATAATATAGCACCAGGCCCCCAGCATGTGAGCACAGCTTCTAGTTTTTTTTAACTGGGAAAAAATGTATGTTTTTTGTATGTGATGATGCACCACACCATCTACACCCTTTTTTCAAAAATCCCAGATCCTCCTATGGACAGCTAAGTAGGAATTAGTAAGTTTGTCTCTTGCTGCCTGCATACTCAGCAGTTCATGTTATCATTTTTAATATGGGCCAGGATGTAGACAGACACTTGTGATGTTTTTGCTGACTGCCTTGCCTATCACCTCTTGCATCGGTTCCGACTCTCGCCTGCCATGTCTTTATTAGCTGCTTCTCGCAGCTTCTCCCTTTCTCACACCTCTATTTCTTCTCCAGGAAGTCCTTCGTTGATTCCCTGATTCCTTTCTTCTTCCAGCCTCTTCCAACACACTGGACCAAGCTCTCGAAGCTCCCTGACTATGCAACCCTCTCCCCGCTCTCTCTCTTCGAGACGCCTCTCGCTCCCATCTCCACCTCTGCCTCTCACAGTCCCATGCTGGGCTCTTTTATATGCAGCGAGCAACTGCTCTGGAACTGCCGCACTCCTTGCTCAATTTCTTTTTCAGGTCTTTCACAACACTGTGCAGAGCTGTACAAGTAAGGGGCATGATGAAATGAAGTTTTGTTCCATTAAAATTAGTATGGTCACTGGACCATTTCATTTGGATTAGTAACTACCTGTTGATGGTTGAAAAGTTTGTCTATCTAAGAAGCACACTCTCCTGTGCTTTCCACATCGATGTCTAAGCCAACGCTAGCGTAGCAAATCTAGTGTGGCCTTTGGCAGACTCCATTAGTCAGTTTGGGACCACAGAGGCATTAGAATGTCAATGAAACTGAAGGTATATAAAGCCATCATTCTCCCAACCCTCCTTTACACCTGCGAAACCTGGACCAATGTCATGTCAAGAAACTAAACCACTTCCATCTGTTCTGCCTGTGAAAGATACTAAAGATCAAGTGGCAGGACAAGATTATGGACACTGAGGTGCTTGGAATATCAGCTCTCCTTAGTATTCACACTCTACTGAAACCAGCCCATCTTAGCTATGCCAGCCACCTTTCAAGAATGCCTAACACTTGCCTGCTGAAGAAAATCTTCTACAGTGAACTGTCAAATG